AAATAAATAAAATAAATCATTAAGAAAAATTCTCCCTGGGGCCGGTGTTGTGGTACAGTGGGTTAGGCAGCCATCTTCGTTGGAAGCCATCCTGTGTGGGTACCCGTTCTAGTCCGGGAAAACAGCAGAAGGCGGCACAAGTTCTTCAGCCCCTGCACCCACGTGGAAGGCCCGAAAGAAGCTCCTGGCTTCAGATCAGCCCTACCTCAGCTGCCGTAGCCATTTGGGGAGTGAACCAGCAGGTGGAAAGATCTCTGTGTCTCTGCAACTCTTTCCAATAAATACGTCTTTAGAAAAAGATACCATCCCCAGTTCTAATAATTATAAAGACATTTTGAGTATTTTTCCTGGCTGTTAAAAGTTTTGATCATTAACGTTTTTAACTTGCTTTTTGTATGTGATGTGAAATACATAGAATTTTTATATTTCCCCCCTATGCATGGCCCAGCACCAGTTTTTTTTTGTTCTTTCCATACTGATTTATTATACCCTCTGTTATGTAGAGAGGCCTCATGTATAAATAAATGTATGGCTAGGACTGGATTGGACTATTTGCTGTCCACTTGCCAATACTATGCGATTATAATCCATTGGATTATAATCCATTGCTTTCCCCGACACTGGCAGGGAGCTGGCTCAGAGGTGGAGCAGCTGGGACTTGAACTGGTGCCCACATGGGATGCCTACGTACCAGGCAGCAGTTTAATCCACTGCAACACAGCACCTGTTCTGTGAAAGGCTTGAGTTTGACATATGCTCTTTATTCCAATGGCTAATAGGATTCAACTTCTTTGTAAATTTGGTATTTTTTTGTGTACTTTGGTATTATAATACAGATTTTTCTGAAGTTTAACCATTCTTGCATCCTTAGGACAAATCTTTCTTGTTGATCAATTTTTTAAAAAGGGGTATGTATTTTGGGTGCTGGTGCTGTGGTGTAGTGGGTAAAGCCACTGCCTGCGGTACTGGCATAATATGGGTGCTGGTTCAAGTCCCGGATGCACCACTTCCGATCCAGTGGCCTGCTAATGTGCAGCAGAAGATGGCCCAAGTGCTTGGGCCCCTGCACCCACATAGGAGACCCAGAGGAAGCTGCTGGCTTAGGATCGGCCCAGCTCCAGCTGTTGTGGCCATTGGAGAGTGAACCAGCAGCTCGAAGATATGTATCCCTCTCTCCAAAATTGACTAAAATTATATAAATATTGTGTCTTCTGACATAAAGGGAGTTATACTCCATCTTCTTTATTCAATTTTGAGATTAAAGTAAATTTTTATCATTATTTAGAAATAGTGTCAAGTGCATGGAAAGTTGGAAGCATGGTACAAAGTTTGTCCCTGGAGTGTTCGAGCCCATTGGGCTGTCCCGTGGTCTCCTTCAGCGTGCGGTCAGCCACGCTGTCTGTCCCTGACGCTCATGGACCGGACACTGCAGAGTGCAGGGCTCCTCACAGCAGGTCCTCGAGACGCAGGGGGCCCAGTCCGACGTGAGTGGTGTGTCTCTGGCAGAAACACCACACGCGTGAAGCCACGCGTTCTGTTTGGATCCTGTCGGGCCATGCAGAACTCCAGTTTGTCCCGTTGTTTGTATCTCCAGGCGTTTGGTTAAGGCGGGTTTTCTGCCATGCCTCTGCACAGTGACGTTTTCTGCTTCCTCTATAATAAGCCAGGCCCTTGCCTGGAGATCACGTGTGTTTCAAACATCGTGTTCACCTTACGTTCAGGTTCCTCATCTACCCGTGTCGTCTGCATTTGCTCATGGGTTCCGGTCTCTCATTAAGGAGTTTGAGACTCCGGTTGTCCTTGAGCTGGTGTCTGTGTCGTTAGCATGCCTCCCTCCCTCTTTGAGCCCTTCCTTACATTTTGGGCACAGAAAAATCATTCAGCCTTGTTTTGGATCTTTCTCTGCCCCGGACCTGGGATTAGCCATTTCTCCAAGGCACTGAGGCAGTTTAACTGTGTGTCGTCACTGCACGCTGAGTGATAACTGTCATTTGAATTCCAGCAATGTGAGATATTCTAGTTTTCTCCTTAGCACATGAGGGTACTTAAAGAAGTTAGTGGAAAATGGAGGTAAAAGATTATAAAGTTTATTGTGGCATAGAAAATTTGGAAATCGATGCATGATTTTTTTGCATAATACGCGTCTTACATGAGCTTTGGCATTGAATGAGGAAGCCATTGAGTTATTACGAGCAGTTCGAAGGCACCCTGCACACACCTTGGCCACCAGGAGCACACAAACAACTCTACAAATAGACATGAGCATCAGAATCCGCAGAGCACTGATCAGATGCAGCAGACACGGTTCACTCACACTGGTTGTGTCAATCACTTGTGCTACCTTCAGTGTTCTACAGCTGCAGTTTTCAAAAACAAGAAAGAAGAGGACCAATAACTGGAGGAGTGCATGAGACAGATAGTAGAAATTTTTGCCCATTTCAAAGTTTTCTAATTTATTTATTTGCTTGGAGGGCAAGAGGCAGAGAGAGGGAGGGAGGTCTTCCGTCCACTTGTTCACTCCCCCTGGCTGCAACAGCCGGAGCTGCACCAATCCGAAGCCAGGAGCCTGGAGCTTCTTCCTGATTGCCCATTGGGGTGCAGGGGCCCAAGCACTTGGGCCATCTTCTGCTTTCCTAGGCCATAGCAGAGAGCTGGATCAGAAGTGGAGCAGCTGGTGCCTATATGGGATGCCGGCACTGAGGCTGTGGCTTTACCCTCTGTCACAGTGCCGGCCCCAGCCCCCCTCAAAGTTTTTAATCAGTTTTCCTGACAGCCTGCCCCTCCCACTGATTATGATGTTAATCTTACAGATTATTCTTGAGCTCAGAAAAATGGCGTTATTTCATTCCATTTGTTCTAATTAATCTGCGTAAGCACAGCAGGAGTGTTAAATAACCACGAAGATTACCCTAAGTTTGTGGGGTTTTTTTGTTTTTGCTTTTTTTTTTTTTTTTTTGGTAAATCTGCAACAGTGGGGCTGGCGCCGTGGCTCACTTGGTTTGTCTTCCTCCTGTGGCACCAGCATCCCATATGGGCGCTGGGTTCTAGTCCCGGTTGCTCCTCTTCCAGTCCATCTCTCTGCTGTGGCCTGGGAGGGCAGTGGAGGATGGCCCAGGTGCTTGGGCCCTGCACCTACATGGGAGACCAGGAAAAAGCACCTGTCTCCTGGCTTCAGAGCGGCGCAGCACGCCAGCCCTAGTGGCTATTTTGGGGGTGAACCAATGGAAGGAGGAAGACCTTTCTCTCTCTCTTGCTGTCTAACTCTGTCAAAAAAAATCTGTTACTGTATCAACTATTTCAAAATCTGGAAAATGAACAGGATCAAATGTAGATCTTGTTTCTCTATGAACTACTCTTTGGGATGGCAAAATAGTTCACGAGGGGAAATGCTGCAAACATACTCCCAGGGATGAAATGGTGGAGGTGGACTGGTGCTGCTTTGGAAACCCTGATAATGGATCTAAGTGATCATCAAAAATGATTGCTAACATCACAAAAAGAAAATATTCACTTTTTTAAAAAAGATTTATTTATTTATTTGAAAGAGTTACACTGGGGGGGGGGGGGGTGTCTTCCTTCCACTTGTTCACTCCCCAGATGGCCATAATGGACGGAGCTGCTCCTATCTGAAGCCAGAAGCCAAGAGCTTCTTCCAGGTCTCCCATGCAAGTGCAGGGGCACAAGGACTTGGGCCATCTTCCACTGCTTTCCCAGGCCATGGCAGAGAGCTGGATCGGAAATGGAGCAGCTGGGACTCGAACCAGTGCCCATATGGGATGCCGGCACTGCAGGCGGCGACTTTACTTGTTACACCACAGCGCCCGCCCCAGTATTCACCTTTCCATCTGAATTTGGCCAGACATCTGGATGGAAGCATACTAACCACGAATACCAGAAGCAGAGAAACATCGAGAGAGACAAGGAGCTACAATCAGAAAGGTTAGGCTGTAGGAGACTGTATAGGACAGATGAGCTGGTTTCTTCAGTAAATTCCTGGAGAATCCCATAGTTTAAAAACCATCTGAGAAGCCTAACAAACAGATGCACGGTATGCACCTTGCTGGTGTCCTGTGTGACCTGATTCAGAGTGGAAAAAAAAAGAGGCCATCCGAAAACATGAATATTTAATATTTTTTGCTTTTAATTATCTGTGCTATTTGAAAGGCAGAAGGGCAGAGCCAGAAGTCCTGCGTTCTCTGATGCACTCTCTGATGCCTGCAGTAGCTGGGCTTGGGCCAAGCAGAAGCCAGGAACTGGGAACGCCATCCAGGCTGCCCAGGTGGGCAGCAGGGACCGACCCCCTGAGCCATCCTCTGCTGCCTCCCAAGGCACTGATGAGCAGGCAGCTGGCGTTGGGAGCGGAGCCCGACGTGAGCCCTGGCACTGCAGTATGGAATGTGGGCGTCTGAAGTGGCGTTTTGACCATTACGCTAAGCAGCTGTCCTGAATATTTCGTGGTGTTAATGAATTAGCATAGATGTGCTGGCAGTATTTTATTTCTTTCAAAGAGTCTTCTTTAGAAGCACATACTGAAACATCTGAGGATGCGGTTATGATATCTGAAGTTTGCTACAAGGTAACTTGTGGGCCCAGGGCCATGAACGAGACCCAGCTGGCCGTGAGTTATTGATCAATCGTTGAGGCTGGCTGATGAAGTAGCGGCCTTTCAGCAACTATTCTTCCAGTTTTCGTTAACGTCTACCTGGTTGCTGTTGAAAGCATGCAATGCATAGTATTGTCGCGTTTAGCTTCTAAAATATTTTCTCAGAATAGGTTTCGGATGCACTCACGATACAGCTTGTCGTGGCGTTTTGCGGATTTCGCCTTTTCTGTTGAAGACAATGTGGCCTTGGAATTTGTGAGAAACCGCTGGCTGTTTTCCTTGAGGTCACACGGGTGTGCTTCACGTAATGGGTCGATCCACTGGAAGCTTTCTGAAAGCCGAGTCCTTCCCCGTGGCGCCTCTCCAGGTGACTAATCAGTGTTTGGTTTGTTTGCAGATCACCTTCTTCATGCTGCTGTCTGCGGTGTGCGTGATGCTGAATTTGGCTGGTTCAATCCTGTCCTGTCAGAACGCCCAGCTCGTGGACTCCCTGGCAGGCTGCCAGCTGGTGAGCAATGAATTGCAAACCTTTCTGAAAGGTCATGGGCTCTGATTGTGCGGGAGAGCAAAATGAACACAAAGTGATTGTATTCTTGGGTTCTCATGCAAACTCTGTTCATTCTGATGTTTTCTAATTGTTTATTTCCCTAAGTTCATTTCCATACATTTGCTCAGGGTTGATCTATGTGCAAATCAGTTACCAGGAGGAAATCTTTAAGGACCGCAGTGTTGCTGGTTTAGAATAAATGACTTCAGTAACTGTTACATTTCAGCATGGGTTGCACTGTTATTGGCACTGAGTTTTGATAAAACAGTTTTGCAAGTCAATTTAAAGCACCAACATGCATAGGAGCTTCATGAGGGCATCAAAATAGCATAGTTGTCATGTTTCGGCTACAAAGAGAATTTTCTTTTAGATTTAGGAAAATTATAGGCAGCGTCCTGTGTGCATTGCAGAGGGCCAGGAACTGGTTTGGTGAATAGAACTGTCACTTCGGGATCGGGCGGTTCCTGGTGCTGTGCTACCTGTTGGAGGGTGTGTTCTCACATCCAGCTGTGGGTCCGCTTTTCCTCCTGACGGGGCCATGGTTCCTGGGTATGGGGACATGAGCTTGTGTTTCTTTATCTCTGAGCCAACGCCGGGCTCCCTTTCAGAGCCCTGTGTCTCCACGGCTGCCCGTCTGCTTGCTCTGCCTGTAGCTGTCATTCTGAAGTCAGAACTGAAATTCTAGAAGCTGTTCTGCAGTGAGGCCTTCTAAGGGGCAGTTTATCTACAAAGACCTGCAGGAGTGTAGCTTAAGTTGGCACCGTCTCGATGTAGAAGCACCTACGGGGTTTCACAAACTGATTATTGGAGCTGAGTCTTGTTATTTTCTGTTGAGTGGGCACCAGAGAATGCTGATCCTATTTTAGCCCATTATGACATGCACAGAAGTATCGTAAGTATGGTGCCATCTTCCTCATGATTACTGAGAGTTGGATCTCCCCCCAAACCTGCAACAGCCGGGGTTGGATTAGCCTTAAGCCAGGAACCAGGAACTCCACATGGGTGGCGGGGATCCACGTACTTGGACCATCATCCGCTGCCTTCCAGGCAGAAGCATGGAGTATCTGGGACTCAAATCAGGCACTCCAATATGGGATGTGGGTGTCCCAAATGGTGCCTTAACCCATTGTTCCATGGTGCCTGCCTCAGTATGTCTTTTATTCCAGACTCCTGGCAGACCCCTGCCAGAAATAGCTATGGCAAGCAGATTGTATTTTTATTTTTTTGATACCTCTCAAGGCATTGTCTGCGCAGGCGGTTGTGTGTGGATTATTTTTACACCCGTGGGCATCTGGTCTCCACACCTTCAATCCCACTGATTTTTGTCATTCGACCATGTACATGGCTGCTACTGTGTCCCCATCCCCGGGTGCAGATCTCCCTGAGGCGAAATAGAGAGCAGCAGGGAGGTCCACTGGATGGGCGTGTGATAACTGAGCTACCCCTTAGTGAAGGGTAGGGTGGAGATGTTTCTAGTTTTTTCTGGAAACAAACACGGCAGAGAGTATCGCCCTCTGTGCACATCCCCGGGTCAGTGTCGGCCTCTGCTCGGGGAGCTGGCCGACGTGCTGCGGGTGGAACAGCTCACGACAGCGATGCGCAGACAGATCTGGAAAAGACATGACTAGGAGCAGCCTTGTGGCCAACACATGTGAGTGCACCTGAAATGTAGAATTATTCCTAAATTGCTCTCCAGAACGGGGTACCATTTCATACTTTGGCCAACAGCGTGTGGCTGAGCCCATGCAAACTCCCGTGTGTCATCAGAAATTCTTTTCTGTCTTTACTGGTCTGACAAAAGATCTGTGATGTGATTTTCATTCCTTTAACTGAAAGTCAAGTCGAGCACCTTTAGATTTGTTTATGAGTTGCTTATATTTCTTTATCTGGTAACTGCCAGTTTAGTTTCAGTGACTAATTTTCTGTGACTTTTAAAATTATGATAGTTATATAAATGTACTTTATTCCCAGGAAACTGGCTATTGTTAATATGTGTTGCAGATACAGATTTTTCTGTAGCTTATTTCCATTTTGGCTTTTTCAGTCTATTCTTTCTGTATGGAGATTTTATGCACTCAAATGGACTCTATTCATTTGTGTATTTTTACCCTGTGGTTTTTCTGGGTTATGTGGTTCGGAGAAAAGCCCTTCCCCACTTCATTTCCTCCACAGTGAGCATCAGTCTTTCCCATCTGCACATTACCTAGAATTAATTTTGCCACAAATAGCATCTCAGTCCTACGGGGTTTAAAAATAAACGTGGGCTGCAGTGTCTGGCTCCCGCCCGACTCCGGCTTTCTGCCGGCGCAGTCCCTGGGATGCAGCAGGTGATAGCTCCAGGGGCTGGGTACCAGCTCCTCGAAAGGGAGACCCGGATTGAGTTCCTGGCTTTCAGCTTCAGCCTGGCCCTGCCTGGTACACTGAACCGGTGGCTGGGAGGTCTCTGTCTCTTTCTCTGCCTCACAAATCAATTTCTAAAAACGTACACGTGGACCTTCCATATTTTTAAATTTAGTACTAGGTATTGTTTTTTCCAGAGGTAAATCTTTTGATTTATTTTATATTGCAAAAGGTACCAGCAGTGCCTAAGACTTCTGGTAATTCTTTTATTACACGCAGGTAAATATACAACTGAATCCTTCTCAGAAGACGTGATGACATTAGCTCCTGCTTTCCGGTATCTGTGCATCTTGTCATTTTGTTACTCCGGTTGCCTTGGGTGAAACTGTTAAAATGACATCCGGGCACTGGCGTTTGCTCATCCACTTCCTGCACCCGATTTAACCCGGAGCGCTCCGTGACTCGCCACCGAGCGCGCTGCCCCGAGGGGCTTTCTGCGAATCTCACCTTTGACAGAGCTCCGCGAAGCACCCGAGGCCAGGGCCAGCAGGTGCAGCGCCGCTGGGGTGGTCCGGAGGCCCTGTCTCCGCCCACACGCGGCTTCAGTGATGTGAGCTGCTCTGAGGCCCACACGGGGCTTCCTCGTGGTTGCCCAGGAAGGAAGCAGCGGTGAGAAGGCAGAACTTGGAGAGCCTTTTCCCTGGGCAAGCGTGCCTGAGCCCCGGCCGGACGCCCGCCTTTCCGCGAGCCAGGGTTTGTGCATGCTGCTGGGGGCGTCTGACACCCTCGTGCTGGGCCCCTGACTCTGCTGCGGTCGCTCCCGGGGGCTCAGGGCGTTCAGAGTCGTGTTTGCCATCAGCTCCTGAGAGATGCCCTCGTTCACTGGAGCCATTTGCTTCCATCCTGGCTCCCTAAGGTTTTATTTTTTTTTTAATCAGAATGCACGCACACTGTATCATCGTCCTTTGACACCGGCAAGGATGCTGTGGGTGTTAACGCAGCGGTTTGCAATATGGGATTCCTGGCACCGAATCGCCTTTGCACTGCAGAGGTCGCCCTCCACGCCCGCTGTGACCAGGGCCCCACGTGCTGTGCTGGACTCGCTTTGCCAATGCTTTATTGAAGAGTTGCATTGAATTCAGAAATGAGATTGACCTGCAGCTTACCATGCGCTGCTTCCCCGGTCTCCCTTTTCATATCAGAATTGCGCTCACTTTTCAGAGAAATGCAAGCAGGGAGCATTAGCCGTGACCATGCCCTGCAGCTGTTTAACCTGGGGATTACCTGGTGTTGGGCGTCTTGCAGATTTATGTGGCTGCTTTTCACCCTGTTTCTGTGTGGTCATCATATTATTTGTGTTCTCTTTACCTTCTTGGGTAGTTTTTGTTAATGTCTTTCTAACACTGTCTGTTTCACCTGATTTTTTTCTGATTTATTCTAAACCTACAGAAGGTATCCATTTATCATTTAAAAAAAACCTCTTGGCAAATCTTGGGGGATTAAAACAGCAGGTGAATGGTTGCCGAGGGCTGGGGGCTTGGGAAGGAGGGGAATGTGGGGAAAGGGTGTGGGGTGCGAGGTTTCTTGTTGGGGGGATGAGAATGTCCTAATATTCGCTGTAGTCCTACTATTCTGTGAAGATCCTAGACACAAGACAATGCACTCTTAACCAGTGGATTGTCTGGGGTGTGAATTATGTCTAAATAAAACTGCTAAGAATTTTTCTGTAAACCATTAAATTAACGGAGATGACTTCTCTCATTTGTAACACTAAAGTTTATCTTTTCTTCAGATTAGTTTTTTTCCCCTGAGAGATCGCTCCGTGTTTTCTTTAGTGAGCTTGCTCCTTTTTGAGTCTTTATTTCTTCATCTGTACTTCCGTCAGTCTTTCCTGCTGTCGTGGGGCACATTTTGTTTATTTCCCACCTATTAGTGTTGGTGACGGTCCTGAGACTCGTCCTTTGTGGGTTTTCCCGTGGGTATTGCTGATACAGGGGGTCACTTCACACTCTTCCTGGGAAATGGAATTAAAAGATAAGTGTGTTGTGCTGCCGGAAGACTTGAAATCCATGCAGCCTCACGGCGATCTCGTGGAGTGAATTCTAGTTTGCACATTTCCTGTTGCTTTTCTCTTTAACCCCAGTGTTCCTGGAATTGACGTTCCTCAGTGGCTGGGCTTTGTGTTCTTTTGCTGTCCTTTAATTTCTAATTCCACTGCATGAGAGCATGCAGCTTCTAAATTCCACTTTTTGCAACATACTAGAATTTTCTCTGTACAGGAATAATTTTTAGTATGTTTTCTGACCTTTTGTTTCAAGCAAAGACAAAGCACAAGGTGGGCATTTAGCCTAGCACTTCTGCTACGGGTTGGGGTGGTTGAATCCCCCTTGGAGAACCTGGGTTCAATACTTGGCTCTGGCTGCTGAGGCAGCTTCCTACCGTCGCAGTCCCTAGGAGGCAGCAGGTGGGTCCCTGCCACCCACGTCAGAGACCTGGGTTGAGTTCTCAGCTCCTAGTGTCAGGTCAGCCCCAGTCCAGCCCCTGCCCTGGGCAAGCATTTCAGGAGTGCACTAGTGGGTGATAGCTCTGTCTATTCCACTTTCAAACAAAGACTTTGTAAA